TTAAAAAAAAAAAAAAAAAAAAGACAACAGTCAATACAACAATAGCCACCCAGTGTTAATGAATCAAAATTACACCTATTTTTTGTCAGATCTGCAAAAAGCAGAATATATTTTTGGTGTGCTGCATAATTTTGGTAATTATGTGTGCCATGAGGTGAAAAAGGTTGAAAATCGCTGCTTTGTATGTTCAGTGATCTAGTTATTGCTTTTATGTGAAGAATGCTCTTTTTTTGTTTTGTGGCCATAGTTGTGGGGATGGAACTTATTTTTAATCACATGCTGCCCACCTTCTTTCTCAGAATGGACTGATTTTATTGCTTCATGCCAGTTTGATTTATCTCCTGCTGTTGGCACCTCAAACTCAATATCCCAAAATAAATTTCTTTTTTCTCAAATCTTTTTCCTCTTCTATATTCTTAATTTCTTTCTGCCTGACAGTTTATCATTTGTAGTTCCCCCTCTACATGTCAATATATCCATATGTCCCAAATAAAACTTATCTTACACTCCACCAACTCTAATTCCCCAGAACTCTCTTCTCCTATATTTTATACCATAATTATTAGCGGCCTTGTTTATAGTGTAATTATTTGCTTATTTGTCTGGCTTCCCCCCATTTGAGGCCAGGGTTTTAGCTTATTCATTATTGTACCCTCACCACCTCTCCCTGACACATAATAAAGCATTTAGTACTGTTTTTCTTTAAAAAAAAAAAATCTTTATTGATTTCAGAGAGAGGAAGGGAGAGGGAGAGATATAGAAACATCAGTGATGAGAGAAAGTCGTTGATCGGCTGCCTCCTGCACACCTCCTATTGGGGATCGAGCCAGCAACCCAGGCATGTGCCCTGACTGGGAATCGAACCACGATCTGCTGGATCATAGGTCAGTGCTCAACTGCTGAGCCACATTGACCAGGCTCAGTACTGTTGAATAAACGATTAAAGGTATAATTTAGAATATCACCTATTCTGTATTTATTGTTTAATACTCAGGGCACTATGACACGGTGATCAATCACCTTAGTTTATCTGGGTGTGTCCTGGTTTTAGTACTAAAAGTTTTGTTTCCTGGGTAAACTAGGACATGTGTCACCCTAACTGTAAACATTAGGTATACAGCTATGAATAAAACAGAAAAGTCTCTTCTCTCATGGAGATTATCAGTATAAACATTTTAACTTTCTTGTGGGTTTTTTTGAGCTCAATATTTCATATAAACTTTTAGCCCATTGATGAAAGATCTATATAATTAATTTTGGAAAACTTCAATGAAGATTTAATGAGTCTTGAATTCATGGGGCTGTTGTGTATTTTGGTTTTTGAAATTTTATGCAAATTTCAGTATTTCGCAATTAATTTTACATTTGTCTAGGTAAATTCAATTAGAATCTCTGGCATGTTCTGATAACAGCAGCCTCAGAACTGGTCTGAGCTTAGCTTTCTTATTTTAGTTTTCATATCTGTCTCACATTACTTTAGTGTCTATATGAACTTAAATTAGAAGAAATATACTTTTAATTGTGAAATTAAAATGTAAAAATTCTTATTTTTTAATCCTTACCCAAGGGTATGTTTTTATTTATTTCAGAGAGGGAGGAAGGGAGAGAGAGAGAGAGAGAAACATCAATGTGAGAGAAACATTGATCAGTTGCCTTTTGTACCTGCCCTGACTGGGGATTGAACCCCTACCCAGGTATGTTTCCTGCCTGGGAATTGAACCCACAAACTTCTGGTACATGGATACTGTTCCAATTAACTAAGCCACCTAGCCAGGGCTAAAATATACTTTTAATTGTGAGGAATACTTATGCAGAAAATTGCATAAAATATAAATTTACATATCAAAAAGTAAGTACTCAAGTCAAGAAATATAACATTGCCAAAATTTCCTTTTCAATCATAATCCTTTCCCTTTCCCTATAGGTAAGTGCTATTTCAATTTTTATGGCAATCACTTTCTTGCTTTTCTTTGTTTCTCTTTTCTTCTACCTTCATTGAATGAGTTGATTTTTTTGTTTAAGTGGTTCTATTTGTATCTTCACTATTGTTTTACCAGCTATACCACTTTGTTTTATTCTTTAGTGGTTGTTCTAGGGTTTATAATATACATCTCTAACTTATCACAATCTACCTTCAAAAAATATGGTACCACTTCTCATATAGAATATGAGGCTTACAACAGTGTGCTTCCATTTTGCTCATCTCATCGTTTGTGTTATTGTGGCCATACATTGTGCTTCTACATATCCTATAATGCCAAAATAAATTGAAATGATTTTTGCTTTAAACAGTCAGTTATGTTTTAAAGGAATTAAGAATTGAGAAAAAAAAATCTTTTATTAACCCACATAAAATTTATTGTTATTCCCATCCAGTGGTACTTTTCATTTAGAAACTTAATTTGGGTCTTTTATATAGTATCTTCCCTTATTTTCTCATCATGTTCATCTTTCTTGTACCTTTTTGAACATATGAAGAATATTTATAATGGATACTTAAATGTTCTTATGTGCTAATTCCATCTTCTCGTTTCTAGATGTTTCTTTTCATTGACTTTTTTTTTTTTTCATTGACTTTTTTTCCTGTTTATATTTATAGGACATATTTTCCTGCCTTTTGGAAGAATACTCTCTGGTAGTTTGCATTATTGACTTTATATAATCTGTAGCATGGTTTGTGTGTGCTCTCTGTGTGTTTTGAGTAAAATCTATATATTGCTCTCTGGTTCCTCAGCCTGATTTGGAACATTTCACTCATGTCCTTTGTTTCTCAGCTCTATTGAACAACCCTTGCCTTTTCAAAATGAATACTGGCTTCCTTTTAAGGATTTCTATACTTGTGGCCTTTGTTACTATCCAAACGTTGTTTTATTTTCCTTCGCTTTGGGACAGCCAGTGCAAACCATCAGTCACTAAATTAACACCCAGAACTTTAATGTTTTAACATCAGCCATGAAGCTTTTCCTTATCACCTAAGTATGGTTGAGAAGTCCCCCTCTTTTGAGCTTCTAAGCATTTTGGTGTTTGAGATCTTTTTCCTTATTTAAAATTATTTTAGTCCTTTTCTTAATCTTTAATAGCTTGTTGCTTTTTAAGGGTAAGGTCTGTATTTTACTCACCTCTTTTATGCAGCAACACCTAACGCAAATAAATAATTCTTGATTTCAGTCACATTTTAATACATGTGGGCCTCAAAAGAAACACATTATTTCTAGTTTTAAAGTGAATATATTTTATTATTAGTCCAGATTAGCAAGATTTTAAACTATTGTAATTATCACCATAAATTTTCCTAGAACTATACACTTTCCTTTAGTGTACAAGATTCTTACCAGTTTTAAGTCCTCACTTTCATTCTTTTATTACCTGTTGAGTATAGCTGCTCTGTTCTCTCCCATCTCCTCTTTAATATCTATGTTGCTTAAGTTATACTCATTTTTCTTGCTACATTTCTTGAATTTTTTTATCATTCTTTTAGTAGACTAAGTCTATTTACTGTTTATCTACTAAGTTTGTCTAAGATTATGATTGCTTGTTCCAGTGAAATTTGTATGTTGGATTTATGAACCTTTGTTTGGGGTCGGGCAATCAAGAAATATTCACTGAATTCCAACTATAGATCAAAGCAAGGAGACATTAATAATTGCTTGCTGTAAACTCGCTTTAAGTTATTTCTACTAAGGCTGTGTCTACAAATTTATATATGTTATTCTTTACAAATAATAGATGCTGTTCCAAAATAGAAAGCAGTCTTCCTAGGATGAAAATACTTTATTAGCTAAATATAACTGCCATTTTTGTCTCAACCAAATACGCTTGGAAGAAAACAGATTTTTATTTTGTATTTTATTTTCTTTAGGTATTTTTTCTGTTGTTTAGTAAGTCCAGGTTCTTATATTTAACATATATTAATACAAGTTTTACCCTTACATTAGAATTTTAAAAATGCAGCAACTTCTGTGACTAGTCATTAGTTCTGATAGTATAGTATCAACAATTCAGGTTACTAAGTGATTTTACATATTTTGAGTGCGTTTTCTCTGAAATCATTGGAATCTTATCTGCTAGTGATCTGATTTTACTTTTATAGGTGGCTATGCACCATTCCTTTCTTTGGTTACCAGAGAAAGTACATTTACTGTTGCCTCTAACACCGAGGAAGCTGTTCCAGGTCCAGGACGCTATAATATTTCAGAAAAACAGGTAAATTTATAATAGTTATTATAATTATTTAAGTTAATAAACATTATGCTTTCTTTATTAGGTTATCATGTCAACTGTCATATTTTATTTTTCCTTCATATTATCTTCTTTCTCCTTTCAATCTATATTTTGTTTTTGTTTGTTTCTCTGTTAATCCTCACCCGAGGATATTTTTTTATTGATTTTTTTTTTTTAAATTTATCTTTATTGTTGAAAGTATTACAGGTGTCCCATTTTACCCTCCAATTGACCCCCTCCACCTCACTCCCACCCCCTTCCCAGGCCTTCACCCCGTTATTAACTGTGACCATGGGTTATGCATATAACTTCTTTGGTTAATCTCTTCCCACCCTCCACCCCCCTTCCCTCTTTCCTCTGNTGTCTCTTATACACATCTAGATGTGTATAAGAGACAGACCATGGGTTATGCATATAACTTCTTTGGTTAATCTCTTCCCACCCTCCACCCCCCTTCCCTCTTTCCTCTGAAATATGATCATCTGTTGCCTTCATCAGTGTCCCTGGATCTATTTAGTTCAGATTCTTTTGTTCATTAGCTTCTTCTTAAAGAAGACCCTTCAACATTTCCTGTAGTGCTGGTCTGGTGGTGATGAACTCCTTTAGCTTTTTCTGATCTGTGAAGCTCTTTATCTGACCTTCAATTCTAAATGATAGCTTTGCTGGGTAGAGCATTGTTGGTTGTGGTTCCACGTTTTTCATCACTTTGGATATTTTTTGCCACTCCCTTCTGGCCTTCGAGCTTTCTTTTGAGAGATCGGCTGACAGTTGTATGGGTGCTCCCTTGTAGGTAACTAATTGCTTTTCTCTTGCAGCTTTTAAGATTCTTTCTTTGTCTTTAACTTTTGGCATTTANTTAACCTTTGGCATTTTAATGATGATGTGTCTTGCTGTGGGCCTCTTTGGGTCCCTCTTCTTTGGGACCCTCTGTGCCTCCTGGACTTGTAAGTCGATTTCTTTCCCCAGGTAGGGGAAGTTTTCTGTAATTATTTTTTCAAATAGGTTTTCAGTTTTCTGCTCTCTTTCTTTTCCTTCTGGTACCCCAATAATACGAATGTTGAGCCTCTTGAAGTTGTCCCAGAGGCTCCTTATACTATCTTCATATTTGTGGATTCTTTTTTCTTTTTG